TGTTGGGGCCACTTGGTGACAAACAACCTCTCCGAGCCGTCCCCTCCCCACGCTGACACCTCTTCCCCAGCAGCTGCAGCCATGCAGGAAGCAGCTGAAGGTCACGTCGCCMTCCCTTCTGCCGGCCCTGGGGTGTGGCAAAGCCCCCACAGCCTCCGGCAGCTCCGCCCCTCGTTCCACAGACACYGCTGGAAGTGTCCGTGCCTTCTGCTCCCTTCCCTCTGCCTGGCATCCATCACCCTGGATTGGGACTGTTTTCCTTATGGAGCTGTTATCCCTGAACTTACCTTTCAAAAAAAAAAAATAACCCAAAAGTGCCCATTGGGTCTAGTTGTGATTGTTTGGTGACCGAAGGTTGGCTCGCACCGCCATCGAGCTTTTTAACAGTGACAAACACATCTGGGCTGCAAGGGACCTCTAGAGGACATGTGCTGCCACCTCCTGCTCACAGCAGSGCTGGCTGGATCCTCCCTCACCTCTGCTTTCCCTTCTCCAGAGTGAGGCACCCGGCAGGCTCTGCTCCATCCCATTTACCATCAGTGCCCTTCTCTAACTCCGCTCTGTCCTTCTGGAGACACAAAGTCTGGACTCAAGGCACCAGCACAGCAAAACTCTACAGAGCTGCAAAATAAAGGCAGTGTGAGTGTTGGCRTTTGGGCTGTGCCCATYTRCCTCTCTGTATATTAAGCTTTAAAAAAATCTCCATTTGGAGTTTAGAATTAACAACTACAAAAAAGTGCAAGGACTGAGAGAAACGTAAGGAGAGGGTTCCCTCCATGAAACAGGGTCTCACAGAAGCCTGCAGGAGCCATCTGGTGACTGGGTGGCTGCTGGGCAAGTAGCCCATGTACCTGGGCAAGCTGCAGGCTACCATGGCTGCACAGCCCACAGCAAGGCCCTCGGGCCCCAGCAGTGGTCACTGACACTGCAGAMTGGCACAGGTGCCACCACTGGAAGAAAAGACAGTCTAAACCGGGCATTTAATGGGCAAGGCATGTTCTCAGTCAAGAGTGACCACCTTTGTGTGCAGAGAGCCCCGGGCCATGGGGACATTCACTCTGCATGAGGCACRGGGTGGCTCAGGCACCAGCAGCCCTTGGCTGCACCATCAGTCACTATTTTCACACAACGTGCAGCTCAAGCCTTTGGARGCTCTTTGATAGGGATGGGTGGTCTGGGGCACACAGGGATTCTCTCCTGCAAACAGGAGATTCTCTCCTAAACAGTTCCTGGTTAGACAAACAGCCCAGAGCTCTGCAGAGCAAGAGAGGGATGGATACAGCCAAGGTTTAATCCAGCAATGGCCTCAACCCTGCTGTGTGCTCAGAAGATTGAACTGAACAGCTTTTAGGCCTGGCCATCTGCTGGGAGGACTGGGTACCACCCGAGGGCCCTGCAGCCTCCAGAGCAGGGCAGGCTCTGGTTTTGGTATTACTGCAAATGCTGTCCCTAAGCCACACTTGTGCAAATATTCACAGCCCTTCAGGCAGGGCAACAGGCAGCCAGTCCAGCTACATCAGGCCAATGGTACAGCACATGTGAGGCAAACACTCAGTAACCCCAGTGTATCTGTAAAGTCACTCTATTGGTTGCAAAGGTTTCCAGGACAAGCAGTTTCCCTTCCATCTGGCTGGAGGGAGCTGACCCTTGTCACTGAAGAGTGCTGCAAAATATTGTGCTTCTGAAAAAAAACCCAGGAGATTTCAGCAGAGCCCCTGGCAGCTGGCACGTCACCCATGGATTGCCAGGGGCCAAACCTMGACCATCTCATGACAGGTTAAAGGAGGGCAATTCCTTCATCAAGGTTCACCGATGCCAAGAATAAATCACTAGTATCCGGTTAAATACAAAAGTGCATCCCTCTACACAAAACAACATCCCAAGAGGCTCAGGCTGCCTCCTTCCCTCCATCCCAAACCAGCTGGAGGTCACTACACACAAATACAGGCTTTGTTTTTTACCTTCAAGCAATCCTTTGGCACTTCTCAAGCTTTTCGATTGAGTTCACTTCCAAAGTAAACAAGGTAGAAATTTTAACAACTCAGGACTGTTAGAAAAATAATCACTGATTAGGCTTCATGAAAACAAAACGAAGCCCTCAATCTAAGRTATGAGCCAGAGCAGCTCAGCTGTACAGAAACAAAATCCTGCTTTGCCCATAGCGAGGCACATCAGCCAGAATGTAAGGCCTTGAGTCCAGGACAGGCTCCACCAGTGCCACAGGATGTGACATCCACTTCACACAGCGACACACTGAGAACATCAYGGGCTCCACGGAGAGATTTCCAGCCATGCCAGAGGTGCACAGGACGCCCTGGTGATGAAGCTGTGGTGTCCAAAGCAGCCAGGATCGAGGCAGGAATTAAATCCTCCAGCTAYGCACACTCACCCCAGTCTTGTTCTGTGTCAGCGTGTGCACATTACAAAAGAAAACGGGGAGGGAGCAAACAAATCCAAGTACCCCAGAGCAATGTGTCCCAGTGTGGCCGAGCTCCCTCYGCAGCCGTTCCCTCTGGCACTGCTGGAAGCCTGGACGCTGTCGGAGCGCCGGGAGCGGCAGATCCCGCACAGACACACAGCACAGCACACCCTCAGACGCACGGGTGGGAACAAAGGGGGAGGAGAGGAGGGCACACGTGATGGAGGAATGAGATGGATCTTCTCCTGGCAGGGGTGCCCGKATCTGCAGCTCTTCCAGTGCCCTACGGTCCACTGGGAGAGGGGGTGTGGGAGCTTTGGCTTACATAAAGAAGAAGCTACAGAAAAAGAGAAAAACAGAAGAGAAGAAAAACAGAGGTTCAGAATTGAAATGAAGAAGTGTGTGAGGGGGAGAAACAAAGGAGGAACAACATTTTTAAGTAAGTCATGAAGGAAGGAATGCACTGGGGAGGTGTCACACACACCAACTTCACCGGAGAGGCCTGAGCTGCCCAGGACATGGGCTGAGGTGGGGAACGAGCTCATGACCTGCACAAAAAGCGACTGACAAACACCAGCACAAACCTACAGAGGCACCTCGAGGCACAGAACCACCTACTGGGAAGGCAGAGGTGACAGGTGACCCTCACACGGCCACAGAACGGCAACAGCAAATATCATAAAGGCCACGCAAAGACCAAAGCTTTGGGTAAAAATATATTTCCTCTCCCCACTTCAAGTGTTGGCACTATTTGGGTCTGTAACCTGAAGCACATACAAGAAATAACTGAGCTTATGCTATAAGGTTATTATTCCATCTGTAATTCAAAAACTCAAATACTTTAACATCAAATAAAGTGACAATGTCTAACAGATGCATACATATCATTTGCATTAACACTGTATGTAGGTTACACAATTGTTTAGTTACAAACATGGGTTATTTTCCAATAGCAAGGTAATAAAGTCCTACATCTATGGTTTAAGGCAATCAGGATATTAAAAATGTATACAAATACAAGATTTCTACCGCTGTTCACAGCTTTGTTTTCCGTTAATTAAAAAAACCCTTCATATTTGTACAGCTCTGTGCTGGCACGTGCCGGCGGATATCACACCCTGCAAATGCAACCCGCGCCCTCCGAGAAGGGACACGGAAGGACTGGAGTCAAATGGACACATCTGCTGAGGTCACACACAAAAAGACATTTCCATCCACACTGGGACCGTTTGGGAGATGCAGAATGAGAGCTGCCTGCAGAAACACTGGTGCTGTTTAACACAGACACGCTTCCAGAGAGACACCAATCCCCCTGATGGGATTTCAAGCTGTCACAAGCACACGGAGGGGTGACAGGAGTGGCAGCTCTCCAGCTGCAGAGGAGCCTGGGGTGGGTGCCAGTGCCTGCTTTCCCTGCTCCTGGAGTGCCACAGGAGATGCATTTCAAGRTGATGCATTTCAAATGCATCCAAARGCACCTTCCTAYTCCCTGCCTTCCCAGAAAGAAACTGTGTGACCCCTGGAAGGTTCTGGGGGAGCAAATCCTCATCCATCTCCTCCTTTCTCAATGCCTGCCAGACCCCTCTACAGAGCAGCCACAGTCCCTCAGAGCAACCTGGATTGTCTTCGCTTTTCCCTTTGGGGGTTTGCTTTGTGCCCTGGGAACATCACCATCCCAAAAAAAAGTACATTTCAGTGTGCTTCCCTGCTCCTTAGCCTAAGGACTCAAATCCACCTGGCCAGGAACATGCAGGTTTAAAGGAGTTGTAGCCACACCACTTGTAAGGAAGTGGACTTTGAGAATCTCCCAGAAAAGCAGAGCTGCTGTGGCAGGAGCGAGGCAGGAAGGGGGAGTCTCTTACTGCTGTACTGACATGCAAARGTGAAAGCACATCCAGCTAGACCTGAGTGTAACACTCACTCCATGCACATCAGGGGCTACAGTGAGAAAAGGCACGGGGAAAGAAAATCAACAAGYGCAGCAGAAACAAGCTAAACATGGCCCAGGGGTTCAAGGTGAAAAAAAAAAATCATTACCATCTCCTTTGGCAAAAAAACAAAACAGTACCTTTGACATCTTCAAGTTTGTGGTTTATTCCCAGTTTCTCCAAYACAGCTTGGTTTCTGCTGGAGAAAAACTCAACCAAAAAGACACTAATGCACTTGGCCACAGCTTTCTGTCAAGAAGGAAAAGCTCAACTCAGCTGATTTTCCCTGTTAAACATCCCTTGAAGGGCTGTTAAATGAAGCAGGAGAAATAAATGTTAAAATTAAGTTTTCTACTTGGCACAAAACACTGGTAATTAAAAAGAGGACAWGCACAGAGACAGCTGAAGCAAAGCATATTGCCACGAGCACTCGGTGATGGGCATGTGATGTGACTGTAAAAAACTCATGCAAACAACTCAAACGTCTTCATAACTCMAGATTTTAAAGGTGAGTTGCCAGAAGCCACAAGAACCAGAATTTCATTTTTCCAAACAACCCTGCGGCAAACCTATTGAACCTGATGAAAAATGCATAGTTGGCGAGTCCAGGAGGTTAAAAAGCCCAACCAAACAACCAAAATAACAAAAAAAAAAAGGATAAAAACGTCAACTATTTTATTTTCAGCTTATTTATCCATTTCTGCTGTCTGTCCAAGACATGGTATTTAGATATCCTCTTCCCAAAGCCATGTTTAAGCAGTGAGGATTAAAAAGCGAGACAACCCATAAGCTCACCCCCAAGCACACTTTCCAATCCAACACTTGAGGAAAAAGTGATAAAAAAGCGACAATTTTGCCTTTTCTTCGTCCACCGGAGAAATTCCATCCAGAACCAAGCAAACAGCTGTAGTGGGAGACTCAGGTAGGAAGAGTTTTGTTTAATGMAAGGGTTTAAGAGGGTTTAATGAAGGAAACAGGAGCAGAGGAAGTGCTGGCTGKGCACTGGCAGTGAAAGAAATCCAGGAGTCAAGCATGGCTCACCACTCCTTGGGAAGGAAGGGAAAGGCTCTGTCTAAAAGCCATGGTATGGAAAACACCCATTAAACAGAGCAGCAAATAGGGCCTGGCTTATCCTACATCCCCTTGSCATGTTCTAGGGACACTGAAAAGGACATTATTGCTGCTGCAGGAGGGCTGTGTGTCCAGGCACCTTCTCTCCCTGCAATTCTGGATCCCACACCCTTGCAGGTCTGTATTGAAGTTTGTGCAGGAATCCTCTTGGAAACTCCAAGAGTGTGCTGAAGGCTCTACCTCGCCCCCACAAGGATTGCTAAGCCTTGCTAAGATCCCACCCAGGATTTCCAGGTAGGATTTCAAGGGAGGTGCCAAAGGTTTGAGCTGAGCAGTGCAGGGAGAGCAGGGCTGGGGATGCTCCTTYCCCTCCATGAGCTGCAAAACCAGGCCAGGCAGGGCCAGGGCGGACAACAACAAACAGCAACTAAAACAAATTATCATGCAAATGTCACGGCATGCAGGGTCAGTTACACTGGGTTATCTACACACACCCCTCTCCCTCTCCCCGGCTGCAGCATCACATCAGCTCCCMAAGGAAGATGGGCCAGCCTAAACTCAGGTTTAGATGGGCTGGCTGGGACATTCCTACAGCCAGGGACTCAGCAGCACTGAGGACACCTGAGCCAGTCAATACCTGAGCTGCTGACATCCCCTCTGATTCAAACTGGGGGCCAAAAATAATTTACTGGTGATGGTTTTGGTGTCCCTCCACCCACCCCTGAACTTCCACTTGCATACAACCCTGCACCCAATCCCTCTTCTTTCTTGTTCCCACTATGTTATTAGATGAGTTAATAGTTATTCATGTTAAAAAATGGAAAAAAAAATATAAAAAGAAAACAGATGGCAGAGACACATTACTGCAAAAGCAGGTGAATGCAGGAACATCCTTGGCTCGACAGGCTTTATGTGAAGCTTGCACTGCAAGTTAAAAAAAAAGAACAAAAAACAAAAAAGTTAGCACTAATTGAACTCAAAATGCAAAAAAAAATAAAGCAAGCCAGGAGAGCCGACACCAGCAACCCGCTCCGGTGGGTGGGCATGCAGATGGATTGTGGAATTACAAAGAAATTCAACCTCAAGGCTGGGCTCTACTCCAGCCTATGACAAGCAAAAGTAAAAAGAAAAACTGGGGGGACAGAACTACTGACCAGCCAACCACATAAGCTGGCCCAGGTTACAGCCTGTCACTGCAGTGCTCGGTGGCTTTAGGGTTCMTTTTTCCACAGCTGGGACATGGCTGCAGGTGTCCCTTGGGTTATTTCCCATGGCATCCTTGCAGAAGGTAACTCAGGTATGTCTGGACACCAGGATGTCTCCAAGCACTTCAGCTTTCAGAACCAGATCCTTCAGACATCAATGAACCCTTCTTTTTACAGGGAGTTGGGCCAGGCCCTGACACGGGTGCTGCTTTGGGACCCAGCACGGCCCAATGGCCAGATCAGGTGTGTTGGGCTGGAAACTTACACAGAAAKGAAACTGAAAAAAGAAGTTGTACATTTGGTTTTCAGAAGAAGCTTTAAATAAAGCGAGCCAGAACCCAAACAGATGGTCCCAGCTCCTGGGGGGCTGTGGATGAGCAGCAACACAACGGCACATGCTGAGGCATGTGGCCATCTACCCAACAGCAGGCAAGCACAGAAGGCTGCTTGCTGCTCTGACTGGGTCTGCTGCCAGGAACTCTCTCACACTGGTCAGGTTGGAAGCACAGTCCCACCCCAAAACTGCAGCAGGGGCTGGGGCAGTGTGCTCAGCCTCACACTCAGGTGAGTGCTGGAATCTGTTCTGCAGTCACCCCTCCCTTCAGTGCCTGAGACACAGGCGTGCTGTCCCCAAACACTGCTGCCACCAGGACAGAGCCCCAACCATTTTAGATAAGAAAAGAGTATAAGCTAGAGAATTCCTGGGGGAATAATCTGACAATCAGGAAGGCCAAGCTCTCCCTCAGAGTCAGGCCAGCAGCAGATTTCACCCCGAGCCTTCCCTCCRTCATGCACAGCGCATTGGAAAGCCTCTGTTGTCCGAATTGGAAAATCTGATCCCACCTTGAGAAAAGAAAGTATTCCCACGAATTACTTTGTGGGGCATGGCAAGATTTCCTCTGGCAACTGCACAAGAAGCACCACAGGCCACGGCAGCAGAGAGAGAGGTTGGAAGCCTCAACTACACAAACTGCAGCTTCACATTAGAGAGCAAGGAGAAGCTTCAAGCCTTTAGAAAACCAAGGTGTGCTACGAGGCAGGAGCATCAGCACTTCCCTGTAAAGCCTCTGTTAGTAACTGTGACACCAGAGAACAACTGAAGCAGGTACAGCACCTGGCGTGGAGCCACACAAAGGACACACTAAAACACGGGCATGTTCCTCAAGGCTGGATTTCTGTGAATGCAGCAGCAAAGCAGAACCTGCGTTTGTCACGGTCACTGGAAACACCCTGTCTCACCCATGATGCTGGAACCAACTATCAAAAGGAACAAAATTCCCCACACCATTCTTGTACTGCACTGGTCCTACAGTTAACAGTTGAAAAAATGGAACTGCATAGTTCTTAAAAATATTACGCTTCCAACTCTGAGAGATGAGGAAAAGGGTCTTCAAAACTTTCTTCTTTTTAGGGAATACATCACCATGGCTGGATTTTCAGGTGAGAGAAGACAAGTGTTGCAGCCTATGTGCAGAAGGGTGTTTCAGCATGTCTGGACCCTAGCTGCTGACACTTCCTGGCTCCAGTGCCTGACACCCAGGGGTCTGTAGGGATCTCTCCCYGAGCAGAGCATGCAGCACACAGCTCCAGGATTCCAGAGGGGCTCACAGCCATGTCCTCAGCCTGCGTCGAGCAGCACGGCTCCATAGGAGCTACATCAATTTACACCAGCTGAGGAACCAGCCTGAGACCCTCCCCACCTTCCCCGGGCCAGAAACAACCAACACGGGGTGCTGAACCAGCAGCACAGACAGGGAACATGCAGCGAGTGGAAAAGCTCTAAAACCCCAGTGCATCTGCAGTACAGGTGCTGCCAAACAGCTCAGGCCAGCCTTGAGCTCCCAGGTTAGCAAGGGAAGTGTCTGAGCACATCCCTCCTGGCTTTTCCAGGGTGACAAATGGGTGTTTATCACCTGGGTTACTCTAAGGAATGTCCCCCTTCTGTCCCAGGCACTGAAAGCAGCGTGGAACTGTCATTTTCCCCCTTCTGTCCCAGGCAGTGAAAGCAGTGTGGAACTGTTATTTTGTGTGTGGGTTAATGCAGTGTTTTCCAGTGAGATTTGCTGCAACCCCAGCTCGACAGCTTTCCCAATGGCAGGTACCAGCTAAGCACCCTTAGCACAGGTGACTCACAAAGGACTTGCATGAGCACCYTCTTACTAGGAACGAAAAAGGATTACACTCCTAGGATACGAATATAAAATAGTAAAAAACAGTGCCATGATCTTGACTAAAAGGTAAGGGTTTCTTAGCTTATTATGTCAACTTGATACAACCACAAACGCCATTGAACTGCAATTACGGTACCATAGTAGTTTGATTGTCTATAAAAAAATACAAACTCAAAGCTTCATGTCTTTAAAGCGAGCTTCCAAGTAATCACTTTTGGCACTAACATTCCCCATGTAAAAATAACATGGTGGTTTTGGTTTTCTAATTTGCTTCTACTTACAACTATAACCTTAAGGAACGGGAACTGRAGAGTACCAGTGAAAGAAAGGACGGGTAGCAACTCCCTTAATAATTCTGGCTCAGGCAGATAAATCTGAGTCCAGAACATCCCACAGTTCCAGAAGATACTGAACAGATCACAAACCAAACCTCCACCATCCAATTGCTCTCCCACACCAGTCAGACTTGAACACAAAATCTGAAGGTACTCTTCTAGAGAAAAATTAAGATCATGTCCCTGACCCACCCTTTAGAAAAAAAAAATATTTTATTTGATCAGGCTGATAAAAGGCCTGCTTCCAGTCTGGTAACGGGGAAAAGCAAATACAGACATGCAGCAAGAAAGAAAAAAACAACCTCCCAAAACTTGTAACAAACCCTACAAAGGATGTGGATGACATCCGCTTACTTTTTCTTGTCCTTGTCTTTCTTGGTTTGTTGAGAACCTGCCTGCTGAGCCTGTGACTGTAATAGCTGAGCCGCCGCCTTCTTCTTTTGAAAGTTGCTCAGCTCTTCCTCAAGTTCCTTCTTTTTATCTTCCACTTTTTTCTTCTCTTCTTGGTGAGTCCTCTTTAGATGGTCAAACTTTTCGTGAAGCTGCCGGGACAGAGACAGTGAGAATTGGATGGGAAGAGAAGGATATTTCCAATGACTGGTAATGATGTCTCAAGTGTTTCTGCTGCCACTGAGGCTTCTCTGCCTGGATTCCAAACCATCAGCCTGATGGGTGAGAAAAGCCCCATAGCTGGCACTCACTGGCACACAGAGACATGGGAATTTGTGCTGCTGTGGGAATACAGAAGGTCTCTGGACACTTCCAAACCCTCACATTCCACCCTCAGTGCTCTGTAGCCAGGGRACTCTACCATGCTTGTGAAAAGCAAGGAAAGCACTGAGGGCTGCACATTTCTCTGTACCTCTGCAGCACAATGTGCTCCTCCAGGAGGGCTGAGGAACAGCTTCCTGCCCTAACAGGACATTTTCTGTAAACACCCTCACAGAGAGCYCTCTGAGTTACAATATACTCACATCCTTCTCTGCTTCCTTCAACTCTGCTTCCTTCTCCTTCACTCGCATGACAAACATCTGCCTCATTTCGTCCTCCTTCTTCTGGAGTTCGCCCAGGAATTCATTCCTCTTTGCTTCATAAGTCTCTTGGAGACTGTTAAAAACACACAAAACTCACTCAGAGCAGCATTTCAAGAACAGTTATGAGCGTCCAACCTTTGGAGACTTTAGCACTTACCTTGTCTTGTCACAAAATATGGTTGGAGGTCCCTGACTACACCAGAGGCACACTCACCTCCAGTGAAACCCATCCCAGTTTGCTAGGTGGCAGCAGTGGGAGACAAATGGGAAAGGAAAAGCTGAGCTTCCTGCTCAGGATCCTGCACATCACTCAGCAGGCAGGATGACTGTCCTCCAGAAGAAGCAGCCACTATGAAAATGCCTGCAGCAATCCCCGATGGCCTGTGATCCCTCTGAGTCACACCTCCTCCCTTTYCCCTCTGTTTGTCCCCAGTATCTTCATTCCAAGCACAAGATTTGTGCAGCAGACCCCGATGAAATCTGCCTCCGTGTAGTTCATGAAGCATGACACAAAGCAAAACTCATTTTCACTCCTCATTGCTAACGATTCATGTCAGGGGCTTGATTTAGATAAAGTCACCCTGGGAGTCTGCCCTTTCCAAACAATCAGAGGCTTTCCTCCTCCAAACAACCACATTACTGGATTCCTTCATTCCCCCTCTACTCCTTAGCATTTCCCCAGCACCGAGATAGGCAGTGAAGATTTGGGACACAAAATATGTTGCCCACGTACCTCTGAGATGTTTAAAGCCTCTTAGGAACTCTGGATATCAAATTCCTCTTTTGTTTCATTCCTTAAATGGATTTGGACAGCCCAGCCGTAATGATAGTGTGGGAATGATAACTATTTCCCCCAAGAGGYTTTTCTGAAAATGCATTTTTTAAATGAAAACTGCACTGAGGTCACRCTGACACGTTGCATCCATGTGCCTAAGGAACATTAACCATTGGGCCATCCTACTCCAAATAAAATCAATCTTTTGTTTCTCCTGGCCCCCTGTTGGGGGTTTTGGTGTCTTTTTTGTTGGTTGGGTATTTTTTTAGGGGGTGCRRTGTTGAGCTGGGGAACACAACTTGTCAGATTATCCTGGATCCTGTATTTAACTCTGCTAATTAATGGGCACTTCAGTTACTTCCTAAAATACTCCCCAGACAGGATGCCCAGAGCTGTTCTGGCATAGGACTGGCTGCCCTGGAGAAATCACACCATTCCACATGACCACACCAGCTTCCTACACATGGAAGCAAAAATACTGATTCTAAAAATGACAAAAATCCTTCTGTGGGAGAGCAGGGCAAGAGCCATTTTTGATTCTTAACTAAACCCAGAACCAGACCTCTCACAGCAGACAGACTTTAGGAGACTCGAAACAAAATCTCCCTAAAATCCAGTCTTGGATTTAATCCTCTGACTGTGGATGSTGAAACTTAAATTCCTAAGCCCTTTTGAAGGATCTGGCAAAGCCCGAGGGCAGGTGAGCTGCTCAGTGAGCACAAACTGAATCTGCAATTAGTGACACRCTGTGCTAGGGAGCAGCAGAGACTCGTGGAGTGAAAAGGAAAGCTCTGCACGCAGCACAGAGGATCTTGGATTGCAAAGCACTTCTTCCAAAGCTCAGCTCCAAAAACACAATGCCGGCTGATGGGCAGGCAGGAAAAGCCTGGCAGCAGTGAGAGGGGCAGGGGCTTCCTGTTAAATTGTCCCATGTTCAAAGCGTAATTCTCTGCTGCAGTGACTCTGACTTCCAGAGRAGCCAAGTTCTCAGAGAAACTGGCCTGGCAACTCCCAGGCTGCATGTGAAAAAAACAATGACAGCCCTAAGGAATAACAGTCCAAACCAACCGGGATCCCTGCAGCTTCTCACARGCAAAGATGACAAGGGAATTGGCTTTTAAGTACACAAACAGATGAACCAAAATTACAAGAGTAACTTGATTTCCCAACACGCCCCCACACACTGAAGGATGCCCTGGCAAATAATACCATTTTTAAAAGGAGTATTTTGAAAAGCTTAACCAGAGCAGCAGATAATCCAGCCCMCAAAGGACTCAGGACAGCAGAAGGGTGTCTGTACAGAGGACCCCATTTCTCAGAGCTGATGCTTGTTGGGATCCCTCCTGACCTCCTGCAGCCTGGCCATGCAAGGTGGGGGTCTCAGATATCATCAGTCCCCCTTTTCCACACCTCACACAAGTCTTTGCACAGCACCAATGGTTTGCTGGGACCTCCTGCCCTGCTCCCCATGGATCTCCCAGAGGATCCCTGCTCCTGGCTGATGCAAGCTGGCTGGAGAGCAGCAGTTCCTGTGGCTCCCAGGGCCAGGATGCAGGGAAAAGCATCCTTTTGATCCCTGGGCTCTGAGAGAACATCTCCCTCATTCCAGATATACATCAGCTTGGCCAAACAGCTTGGGATCATAGGTTTTGTTTGTTTATTGGAGGGAAAAGGCACCCWGAGTGAACTGCTCTGAACTAGCACGTACCAGATGGAGAAATTCTGTACATTTTCATTTCCTTTCTACTTATAGCTTGGTCAAAAGAGGCCTCGTGTACAGGAAGCAATGGAAATTCCTCAGATTCCTCCAAAGGAAGGGCTGAGCCCATCTTAAGCCATTGCTCTCCAGAAAGGAAATCCAATAAAGCTTCACACTTGGGCTTAGTAACAGAACTGGCTTGACTGATTCCAGCAGAGTTTCTGTGCTGCAGAAGAAGTGCAGCTGCATCAACTCAGCAAGTCAGAAATAAAAGCCCRAAGCAATGCCAACCCCTGTTACAGGGGCAAACCCCACTGGTGCACGGGAATTCTGTCTTCCTGGGGGCAGAGAGGAGTGTGAGATGCTGTAAAGCAGGGGGTGCAATTATTGGGGAAAAGCTGGGAAGGAATGGGAARCAGGAAATGAAAAGAGAAGACAAACATTCCCTCCCAAATTCCCACACAGCTGTTATCCCTGGCTAATGAGTTGGGCTTCAGACCAATAAAGCTGTCTGACAGAATGAACTATGTGTTTAGTAATCCACCAAACCTCAGGCATGWGACAGTGGTAACCTTCTCACAGCTCACCTTGGGCCAGTTGTGAAGAGCTCTAGAAGGCTCAAAAGAACATTTACCCCAGGATGTCCCCTTTGGTAACTCAACACACGGGCCATCTTCCTCTCAGCATGGACACGGCTGCACTTTTCCTGCCCAGGAATTGCAGGAGCAGAGCAAGCTGGCTGCAAAGCAAGCAGTGCCTGAGTTCCACATCCCTACCTGAAAGGTTTGCTGTCTGGATCCGTGTCCTTGAATCCCATCTCCTCCAGCTTGCAGCGCCTGTACAGCTCGTAGTGCCGGGTGTGYGTCTGCTCCCTCAAATCCTCCATGTTCACTCGGATCAGCATCTCCCGCAGCTTCACAAAGTCACAGTGGTTTTCGTTTTCAACTGCAAAAATGACAGAAWATCCCCAGAGAGAACGTTAAACGCACAGAGCTGGGTCCTGGGTCCCCCCTTTTCTCCGGATCTGGGCCCCAGAGTAGCAAGGCTCAGAGTTCTTCAAGCACACAAGCAGAACTCCAAATCAGCCCACACCAAAATGCCTTGYTGAACTGGGGCTGAAGCCATCCCACGCCAGCATGGGCTTGAGTTCAAGGCCTTGCACTGGATTTGCAAGATCTCTCTGTTGCCCATCTGTCACAGAGCTCCTATCTCCCCAATCCATTTTTGCACCAGCAAGGTGATGATCCGTTTGCATRCAGGATTTCACTTCCCACTCAAACCTACACAAAATCCTTGCGCTCACAGGGGCGCAAACAGGCAAAGTTGAAACTAAATCTCAGACTATCTGGTCCTAGTTTTCTGGGAACAGCAAGAACCCAGCAGGATACAGGATGAGCCCCAGACTTCCCAAACACATCAACATCTTTCCTAATTGCTTTTCCCAGTATTATCCTCTGGTGCATACAGCTGAAGTCCCTGAAGCTGCTTCAGGGTCAGCTGGTATTCCTGAGAAGCCAGAAAGCTTTGTGGAATTGCACTGTGAATGCTCCCCTGCAGCTTCCTGGGCCGTTCTCCAATGGGATACAACTGAAGCCACAAAGAGACCATCACCATCTGAATCCTGTACTTCCCAGAGCTGGTTGGAAAGCAAGGATYAGCTCTGTATTTCTGGCAGCTTCAGTAAAGCCTGGGTTGCAAACAGAACCCTGGGCAAACTCTGCCCTCCTGCAGGAAGGAGCTTTTGGCTCCATGTTCAGATCTAAGTTGTGCTTTCTCAAGGCAGATTTTGGTAAGGGCCATCCAGAGATCAATATCTCTCGGATGAGAACGGGACAGGATAAGAAGGCCTTGTTTGTGCCTTTGGTAACATACCCTGCACGACACCCCAGGGGTACTGCCTGGCTTTTGCCATCTTATTGCCAATCTTCACTTCTTCAGTACTGCCAACCACGGCAAAAGGAAGGTGGACCTACAAAACAAAAGGACAATGAGGTCGGGCATTTCCWTTGCTGCCTTGCCAGGGACTGTTTCTCAAGAAAGCTGTTTGCTGTGACAAAGTTGTTTAAATGCCTTTGCAATTCATCTGGTATTTTAGGAAGACCAACAGGACAATCTGGATGAGAAACYTGATCAGACTTCAAGCCCAAAATTCTGAACTCCTAAAAATACAAGATGTATACATATTTTCCATTTAATTACAAAGCACTACTGTCGTAAGCACAGAACAAGTCTTACAAACTGGAASTGAATTTGAACACTGAGAAAAAAGAACCGTGAAACAACAAAAAAGAAAATAAAGTATGTGTTCTCAAGGAAGGCAAGCTAAAAATTCAGGGGGATTCTGCTGCCACAAAGAACTGCTAATGCTTCCTCTTAAAAAGGGCAGAGCTGTGAGCAAGGGGAAGAGCGGAGCTGACCCAGCCCTGGGCTGACACGTCTGAGTCATGGAGCTCTGCTCTGTCCAGGTCTCTCCRTGGGTGTGGTGGTGACAATCTGGGATCTACTCCCAGAAGTGTGGCTGCTGCCAGGACGAGCTGGCCTCAGCTGCCAGCCCAGCCCCGTGGAACTGTCCCTGCATTAACAGCATCCAAAGGGGCTGGGACGAGATCTGCCAGCGGAGGCAGTGACAGCCAAGCCGGGTCACAGGCTGGGTGGGAGGGGAAGGTGTCAGGGCACAGGAGATGGGATTATCTGGCAAAGGGGTTTTTCAGCAGCCAGGCTGACCTGAGGAAGGCAGAACACTGCACACAATGCACCCATGAAGAGCCACATCCCTTCTCTGTGCCAGKTGCTCAGAACACAGACAGGGTAGAGAGAGGCAATGGGGAGCTTTGGAGAGGCTCRAACATCCAGTTGGATGAGATAATTGCCCATCTACAAGCAATTGAGCACGAAAATTCACAACAGTCTTCAAGTAGCAAAGAAATAGCTTAATCTGAGTGCACTTGCTTTAGGATTGGCACATCCTCTTGGGGCCAAACAAGGCGTCACCGCCAGCAACCCTGAGCTCAGATTCCTCCCTTCACCCTGAGTCAGGCCCATGGCAAACAGCTGCTTCCCTTGGTAACCAGCACTAAAATATTTGGTCTAGTCCAGCCCTGAGTGCCCTCGAATTTCATCCCACTGCTAGAGGAAGGGGAAGGAGGTGAAAGCCAGAGCCACTGATGGCCAYGGGCCCTGTGGAGAGCTGGAACATCAGTGCCGGTGCCCCACTCCCACCGGAAACCAAAACAAAGGCAGCAGTGAATCACCCCCACCAACCAACGAGTGGTCGTTTGGGACAGGAAAGCCAAACCTCAGTTCTCTGCCCTGACCGCCTCGGGGCCCTGCCTTCCATCCTCTTCCTTTCCTGAGACGGGAATATTGCAACAGGGGAAGGATATGAAAACTGCTCAGAGGAGAAGGGTTCGTCACACAATGAAACACAGCAGAGCAGGTACCTGCAGACCCTAAAATCTTCTGGCCAGGCTGATGTCTGTGCTTAGACTGCAGTTTTAAAGCCAAATAAAACAGCATAGCCATCGAGGACAGGCCCACACAAACCAAGGGAAGCAAGACAACWTACACTCATGGTGGCATTGATCTCRGCCACCGTCTCCTCGTCGGTCGGGAACTGGTAGATCTGCACGCCGTTGCTGACCAGCTCRCTCATGATTTTACTCTTGAACTTGTGCAACTCATTTTTTGCAATGGTGTCAGCCTTGGCAATGATGGGGATGATGTTCACCTGCAAGACAGGACAGCATAAATTGTGTCATTGGGAGAGGACAGAGCAGGACATGCAGCAACAGCCCTGAAGTGCCACCAGCCAGCACCACCTCAGACAGGATTTCCAGGCAGCAGTGATGAAGGCCTTAGAAAGAAGTCAAATGCAATTTGGCAACATGCTATTTCCTGTCCTGTCGTATTCCCCTCCTCATCCGAGTTGGCTGGACAGGAAATGCTGTCACAGATTATTACGAGCTGCTCCAAAAATGAAGAAAGGAAATGACCATCTCTGCACATCCCCTGGCGCCGCAGCGGGCTGGATTACCGTGGGAGCCACGCTCAGACAGCAGCCTGTCACAGGCCTTGGCTCAGGGGGTGTCACCAGGGACACTGGAGGGGCAGCAGAGCTGCTGTCACCCCACAGAAGGTGGAGCAGATGGTCCCTATCCAGCCCTGTGACACACAGGACAGGGGCTGGCAGTAACACAGGCACACTTCCCCCACCTGTGTGCCCTCACGTGCCCCCRGACACCGCTGCACTGTGGGACCAGGGCTCACTCCACCCTGCACAGCTCTCAGATGAAACATCAGTTACTGACTCTCTTCCCGAGATAGGCTGCTGGCAAGGATAAAGATCCTGCCTTCTTTCCCTTTCTCTTCCCTCCAGAGGGACAGTTTCTGCTTTTGATCTTGCAGGATTTGCTTTTCCCTGCAACAGCAGACAGAAATYGTACTGAGGATAACAGCGATATCGACCTATATGGAGGGATTTTAACTACAGTACTTGAAAATCCTCTTCTATTACATCACTTAATTCTGTTTGGAGTTATTAAATCCCCCTTGGCCAAAAGATAGAAGAGGAATGTCAATTAGCTCACTTGGGATAAATCTCTATAACCTTATTTTCAGCTGAAGAGGGCAGGGAACCTTCTCGATCACCACATAAAACCCAATCGATTGGCCTCTCTAGGAAATAAAGAACCACTGTCATCACTGATGCCCTGCAGAATCAGGATCCAATGAGCCAAAGGTGCACGGTGGGCTGATTTAAATTGCTTAATCATGATGAAAAGGAGCACAGAAAAGGCTCAGTTTAGCTACTCAAGSTCTGCATTTGTACCTCTTTTATTTTTCCTAGAAGAGGTGACATGTCCTTTAAACCATGGTTTAAACCAAGCCYATAAGGATACCTGGAAAAGCAGATGCCAAGTAACATATTTATTCARATTCTTATTTATGCTGTTACAGCCAGAACACCACCACATTTGCCATAGCAGATCAAATCACTGTTTTTGTCTAGCTGGATGTGGTCTGAGCAAGCAGACCCAGCATTTCCATTTGTTTTTCACTGATTAGAAAGACCTGAACTGTCTTTATTGACTTTATAGCTTAGCTGGGGAGCACGTGGCCAAGCTCCCTACCTGAGGTAGGGATGGAAAAGAGTAGGAGTCCAAATTCTCAATAAATCTCTGCAGCATGTGAAGCAGAATAATGACCYGTTATAGCAGCTCCCCCAAGGTACACTTCTCACACTTTTCATCTGCAATTCTCCCCKACTAAACCCAGATTTTCCTCAGCAGATGGCAAGGTAATAAAAGCACCACAGGGCCATGGTGACACAGGCAGTGAGTACCTTACTGTCGAGCTTCTTCATGGTGACCAGGTCCAGGGATTTCAGCGAGTGTCCGGTGGGAGCGATGAAATACAGGCAGGCGTGAATCCGCGTGTCGTGGTAGTTGAACAGGGACCGCTTGATCTTYAGCTCTTCCTGCAGGTAGGCTTCGAACTGTGCGTCGATGTATTCTACTATGGGCTTGTAGCTGGGGAGACAAGGCACAGAGAAAACCAGGAGTTGGTGCTGGCACCACAGGGGCCACTGGTGGACACTCAGGAAGCTTCAGGGGTGCTCTGCATGTTCCAGGACCGGCCCCACCGACCTACAGTCCCTCCATCACAAGGGTCTGTTCACTTGGTGCACAGGGAAAGTCTAACAGATATGACAGCCCTGAATTTTCAGTGCATGGAAACCATACAAGATTGCTACCCTGAAAACCACGGTATTTGGTAGTCTCTCCACTAAAAGTCTCATCTGCTGCTCAGCCAGTTGCACTGAAAATCACTCAGTATAAGAAAATTTAAGCATGAAACCATCATCTACCCTCTAGTTTGTCCAAAAGCTCGCCACTTTAGAAGAGGGAAGGGAGAGTCACAAGGTAAGAGGGACTTTGCARGAAAGGAAGCCTGTGAGCAAAGCTCAGAAGACAAGTGCACCCTTTGTGGACTTTGATGGGTCCATTTGGAGAAACAAAAAAGCTCCTTTAGTGTAACATGGCCTGAKGTGATTAACTGCTTGTGCTTCTGGAAAGAAAACTGCTCCATGTGTTCCYTCTCCACCAAGGGCAGCCTCATGGATATCACTAGGTGGGTTTGTAAAATCACTGCTGCTCTGGCTTCTGGAAACCCCAAAAACCTCAGAGACATGTTGCAAAGAACGCAGAAAGGCTCCATATTGGGAGAAATATTAGAAAAAGCCCAATAAAAAACAGGGAGTGAAGGAAGACTGGGAAACCTCGAACCAGGAGCACAGAGAAAATGCCACCCACCACAGCCAGGACACAGCAGGAGAATGAAAGCTCTCCCTAAGCCCTGCTGCTCCAGGACTGCCTTCTCTCCACAGGGTTAGGCAGGAGCAGCATCACTTCTGGGATCAGGAAACACTCCAGAACAGCGAGGGACACAGAGACTGACTCTGGAGCACATCAGTGYCAGGATCCCCTCCCGGCAGAGCTGGCTTTACCTGTCATCCTTGTTGATCTGATCACCAAAGCCCACCGTGTCGACAATGGTCAGCTTCAGCCGGACGTTGCTCTCCTGGAGCTCGTAACTCCGCGCTTTCAACCTCACGCCGGGCTCGTTGTGCGTGGCGGGCTCGCTCTCGAACTTGGTGTTGAACAGAGTGTCCATCAGCGTGGATTTGCCGATGCCGGTTTCACCTGAGCACACAGAGGRGGTGTCAGGGGRTCCCAYTGCCATCCCTTACCTGTTGCTCTGAGCCATTCACCAGGTTAAGAGTTATTCCACTTGGGTGGCAGTGGAATTAGGCTACATGCACAGATAATCCCTGCGGGAACAGATGCCTTTGGAGACAGTCCCCATCTTCACCAGTGCCCCAGGACTGACATGGGAACTTWCTTTATGGAAGCAACTTGTAAATTTTCTTAACTCTGTGTCTGATTCCCTCATTTTATTTTGTTTCAGCCTTTTTAAGGCAGTATTGCTGTTTCAAGAAAGCCACCTAAAATTCATGGTGCAACTTAGGCAATAAAAATCTGAGACAGAGAAACATATAAGGAGCTCTTATAAAAAAATAGCACGCTGCTTAAACACCAACTTTTTAAACTATTACACTTTCACTAATCCCCAGTGCAATAAGTAACATGGATGAAAGCATTAGCCTAAATCCCATTTTTAAGTCCAAAGTGTTTGTTTAGCAATTACACTCTCAAACAGCTATTGCTACCCATGCTGTGAGCAGGGGTGGGCTGAGGCAACTCACATGGAAAGCCAAATCCTAAACTGATGGCACAGACTGCTCATGGCTGAAGCTGCAAATTTTAGGGAGCTCCTGATGTGAACTGCTGCATGCTGTGCCAGATAGGCTCTGCAGCATTTCACATCTCAATTAAAAAGTTGTACTACACCAAAGTTAATAGTCTCCTCTTTCAATTCACAATTTTAAACAATATTTTTTTCCAAGGGTGGGATTTCTGATCCTTGGCCAACTGCAGCAGTTTGTGTGAAACTTTAATATGGGGTGAAAATCATTGGACGGGCACATTTCACAAGGAGAATAAGAGGTGGATCAAATTGCTAATGGAGACATATTAAGYCACACTAAGAAAGGCATATTTACTGCAAGAGAGAAAGGCAATTAATTTATGCCATTTTGATCAAAGAGCTGCCTGCTAATCGGGCTGTTCCCTGCTGGATTGAAATGGTTTCATGCTGCTACGAGAGTCACGTGAGGGTTGGGAGCTTGAGTGTGCAGAAGAGCAACTGTTCTCTTATCTCCTCTTTTCACAGGCAAAGCTACAGAGAGGAGTCGAGTTTGCCAGATTTCTTTTCAGGCTGCTCACAGAAATTCTCAATTTGCTGTAGAAAAATCACAGTCAGAGGGTTGTGGGGTTTTTCCAGCTAATTAATGTGACTAATTAGAAGGGACAATACTCCCTTCACAAAGGCTTAAGTGAACAATGAATGGAAAGATGATGTTTGCAGCCTGCACTGCCAAGCTAAGAGAAAAACCCAGCAGTTTTGTCCATTTACAGAACCACATTCTGGGTCCACTGACAAGTCAAAGCTGGCTTGGCTCACAGCTCCCTGGGGCTGAGCAGTGCATTTCCAACTGTGGAGTATCCACATGGCACCAGGACAGCAGCTACCTCCCTACAGCCAAGAGAAGATGCTGCCTCCTCGTATTTYACCCCCTGAATAATTTGGGAGAAGTAACTCAGGCTACAAAACCAACTTTCAGCACTCAGATTAAATACAGCGGAGGACAGGTGACAGGCTTTGTTCCCCAGCACATCATCTGGAGACTAAAAATGGCATCATTTCCAACGGGAGAAACTAAGAATGGAAGGAGACAGGCAAAGCCTGGAARGGAAGGAATGCAAGTTGCTGAGAAGCACCCTCCACATCCAACCCAGAGAARAGCAGATTTAAGTTCATGTTGTGAACATTTAGTTCCCGAGTTAGCTCAGTTTTCTTATGGGCAGCCTTTGGGGAAAGCAGAACCACWGGATGATCAAAGGGATAGATTTTAACAGCTAGAAATTTCCATGCTTTGACTCAGGGGGCAGGGCAGAGAAAAGGGAAAGAGGAATACTAGATTTCACCGTGGAGCTGCTCTGGGAAGACAACTGTCACTTCCYTGCCAGTGTGGTCCCYGGTGGCTCTGCCWTGCCCTGGGCACAGGGAGAAGGTGARAATGTGGAGCTGTGTCCCCTGAGGGCACAGCAGGGTGACATACCCACGCAGAGGATGTTGAAGCAGAAGCCCTGCGATGTTGACTTGTTGACCAGCTGGTCCGGGAGGCTGTCRAAGCCCACGTGGCCAGACAGGGACAGGTTCCTGAGGTCATCGTTCTGTAACACCCAGAAAAAAAAGCATTGAACAGGTCTGTCAGGAAAGGAGCCCTGTCAGAACTGCATTAAGGACACGGAGGCTTTTGGGACACAGGATCTGTGTCTTGGGTTTTCCTCCCAAACACACTCTCCTTTTCCTTCTATCTATCTCTGCTGTGCGGCTCAGGAGCTAAAATGTCCCCAACCCTAAGACAGGCAAACACCACCACACTGGTTCTCCATGCCTGTCAATAATAAACCATGATTCTTTACCAATTTGCAACACCCAAATGCTGTTCCTGAGACCCCAGAATCCCAGACCCTTAGGGTTATCCTAAGATTATTTAGGCAGACACCTGGARAAGAGAGGAACACAGTCAGAGCTGTAAGCTGACCATTTCCTGTTGAGCTGGTGAACTCCTCCTGTACAGCTACCCAACCTCCCAGTTCAAAACTTCCCCAGCAGCGTGGGAAATTGCYCAAAGTTCCCAGTGAGGCTGGCTCTCACAAGAAGCACACTGAGGAGTCACACAGGTGGTGATAAGGCCCTGCTTGCAGCTCCAAAAGCTATTTTTGACAGAAACCTGTGCAGGCGAGCAGAGAGCCAAGGTAATGCTCTCCTTGGGAAGAAGCAGCTCTGTCCTGCCAGGACTATGAGAGAAATGCAAACACTCCTGCCCTTTTCCTGCAATCCTTCAGCATGGCCACAGCTGACACAGCTCAGATAGCAACAGTGCCTCCAGAGCCAGCTAAAACTCTTTCCAGCTTTTCCAGGCTCTGACAGGAAAGGAAAAAAGCAACCGCGCTGCTCTGCCATGCCTTGGTTTACAAATAACCTSATCTGACACGAGGTGAGGAAGCAGGGCACCGTTCCCAGCATCTCCTGCGTGATCTACAAAGCCCCTGGTGCCACCTCTGCGTGTCCTCAGCAGGAAAAGATGCCAGGCCAGGCAGCCCAGAGGTGCCAGTCACCCCTCGTGACCTGCTCTCCTCCTYGGCTGCTGACAACATCCAACACCCCAAAGCTGTTCTGTGGAAGGTGAGGGGTTGAGCACGGACCTTGCAGAAGGAAGGTTTGAAACAATCCCCAGATTGTATTTGGAATCTCCCACAACAGCTGTATGGCAGTCCACAGAGAAGTTCAGAAAAACAAGCTGGCCCAGTTACCTCTTCCCTGGCAAGTCACAGTTATGCCAAGGTCATGAGCACASTAAAACAAGCAAACAAAAAAACCCCACAAACTTGGTAGACCAAGAGCAGCTCTGCTGTTATTTCACAACATTCTTCTCCTAACGTTTGTTGCCCTTAACTTGGAAGATACTAACCTTTCTCTAAACCCAAACATTTCCAATGGAGTCCCTCCACCACAATAAATACCCACAATAAATTACAGCTGTGGGCAGCCTCAGCATGGTTTAAAGATGCTGGAAGCACMAGCTTCTTTCCACAAAATCAGGGGGCTTTGGACCAGACATGGACAGCTCTTTTGTAGTTAAAGTAAGAGCCAGAAGCAGAGGAAGACTTCCCACTCTCTGCACAATTGCTGAGGTGCACCACTTCCCTCCTCAAAACAGAACGGACCAGCCACCAATTGCAGGGAGAAACAAGTTACATCTGGGATGAGTGTTGATGCAAACAGACTCAGACCTAAAGAAATACAAAAATTCCCTGAGAAATGCAACATGTCCAAGCGAAAATGTCACAGTCTGTGCCAAGGAGTGTGGGCAAAGAGCTCCTTTCTGCCCTGCTGACACACAGAGCCTGACACCTGTGTGAGATACCTGAGCTTTGTCTTAGCATCTAAACCAGGCTTGTCCATAGGTAAATGCCAATTTACCAGCCTGTTCACCTCCATCCCTCTGTGTACTGGGAGCTCCTCACCAGCACCACACTGCAGAAGCCAAAGGTGATAAAGAGATGCCACCTCCTTCACTCAGGCTRGGTAAAGAAAAACCACACAGAAAGACCATCACCTCATTCATCCACAACAGTGATTTCMCTGGAAAAGGCCCTGGGATTGATGTATGATGTGAATGGGTTAAATGAAATATTTATAACRTTCATATTTTTAAAAAAACAGTGGGTTTGGTTTATGATCAAGTGAAGGGAGCTCAGAGCAGATAAGAAAGCAGCAAGAACCCATGACTCACAGGCTTCACACAAAGTGGTGGGTGCTGAACATCTCTCAGCACAGCACCAGTATCTCTTTCCCTGATATATTTTGGGAAAGCAAGTAGTGCCTCATCATCAGTTGCTCAGCAGGAACAGGAGTTAGACTCATCTCTTGCATCTGTGTCAGTTATTTTTGCTGCAGACCTTCTCTGGTTTATTTTCCTCCCCTTGCTTTTTTCTTTTTTCTTTTTTTTTTTCCTGAAAGTGGCAAACAACAACAGTGGAATAAACAAAAACTATTTCTGCACTTTGCAATGCCAAGTATTTTTCACAGGCTGTGCTGCACAACAGGAGACAAGAGTAGCCTGATATCTGCTCAAAACATCAAAACACTCGTGAAAAGATCAGAGGCCCGAGGCACAGGCAGAGATGAGACACAAACCCAAGCATCCTCCTCCCTCAGTGTTCCCAGGATTCAGCACAATTCCCCGAGTCGAGCAGACACAGAAAACGGGAGCAGTTCTGTACAAGGATCACAGATAAACATTTTAGAGGAGGCAGGAGACCCAAAAGAACTCGATTTCTACATCTCTTCATGCACACACACACAAAGCCAGTTCTGCAGCATGCAGATGGCCTTGGAAAGCTGACACATTTTTGGGGGAGCTGCAGGCTGCTCCTTTCCAGAGGAAAGAGATGTGCACGCTGCATAACCACTTACCACTGCAGGCAGGCCTCTCCCCTCACTTTCTATCTATCTTCAAGGGGATAGTTTTATCCACAAGGAAARGAAGCCTCTGCTGGAGAGCAACAATCCTGATTGCTCAGGGTATCAGCAGCAGAGCAGGCGAGTGATTCACGCTCTTGGTCTGGCAGAACAGAAGTGTTGTAGCAACAAGAGGGTGCTAAGTCAGATGGCCCTGCCTCTCCCGCTTCGAATTGCCATGACAAACTCCCGAGCACAGTCAGGGGGCTGGGTCTGATCCCAGTTGAGTCATCCCACTGAGAAACGGGCATCTCCAGCTGAAGAGCAAAGGCTGACATGGCCCCTGCTCCACCCCASAGCCCCTGTGTGCACCAACAAGCCACAGAATGCTACAAGCATTGATTTATTCCTCCTYAGAGGAAGTCAGCAGTGCTGCTCAGGTGCTTCAGCCCAAGTGGAAAGGTATCTCATCACCCTGCCTCACTGCCTTCTTCCCAAGTGCATCCCTCATTTCCCCTCCTAAGATGAACAGAGCTCAGCACAACTCCTCCTTTTCCCCAGCACTGTACCTAAACATACTCCTGGATTAAAACAACTTCTCAGGAGTCATGCACAGAAACACAGCCCTAGGAGATGCCTTGGTAACCACAGACAAGTGGCAGTGTCTGACCTCTAACAAGCACAGAGCCAAGCAGCTCTCCCTGCTCCCAGCTTCAGGATCCATGGACAAGATCAGCATGGGTAAAACTGCAKCTCCACAGACACCTAGAGAGATCAGCCAGTATGCACCAGATGTGCTGCTAGACTTGGGTGTCTGGATGTTCTCACATGTCAGAGAGCTTAAGACATCCCAAAAGCAGTCTTTATTTTTAAACTCTTCTTTAAGACACTCCTGTCTCCTTTACTGAACCTGAGATTACAGAGCATGGCTTCCCTCCCTCTTTCTCATACTATCCTTGAGCAGAAAGCGATTCTGAACATCCAGAGTTACGTGCTAAYCCCTACAAAAACTACACGAACAAATAAATGCTTGTTTCTTGGGAAAGATGCTGATCATTTGACTTCTCATTGCGGARAGCCCTACAAGGCATCCCACAGTCGATATTTCTTGGATCAACAACAATCTCTGAGCTGCTGTTATCACAGCTGCTGGTTTTAACTGCAGCAGGGGAAGGGAAGGGAAGGGAAGGGGTAAGTTAAGCAGAGACAGGCCCCCAGAGACACAGCATCTCCTACCTACCATCACTATACAGAGACTGATTGTCAGGAACCCAYGTCCCAGTACTCTTCATTTAAAGAGGGGGAAAACGCCTTGCAAAAGACAAGAAAGGGTTTGCAGTCTCAGAAACCATCTCTTTTAGACCTCTTTTTTCACACACCTCCTGGTGACAATGGATTCATAGGTCAAGCACTGCTGTCATGGATGCTCTGTGGCAAACAGTGGCTTTGCCTGGATGGGAATCAGTGAAGCTATATAAAACAATTCAGCTGATGAGGCACGTGCAAGGAGAGTCAGCTCATTCCTCCCAAGCCACAAGGGCTTGGCARAGCCAGCAGGAATAAAGAGAAAGTTATTCTCCTCACTGGAGTCAGGAAAAGTACATCTGTGTGTGGATGGGGAGCTGGACATAAAAGGTGGGTCCTGTGTCACTCCTCCAGAAGCAGCACAAAGCAGAGTTGTGTCCTTATGCTTCCAAAAGCATCTGTCAGCTGACTGGAGATAAAGCAAARTTGCTCCTCTCCTGGGCAGGGAAAAAGCCCCACTCCCATCCCAAAAGGCCAAGCAGAGAGGTCCACAAGGACACCTGTATTGTCCCAGTCTCCAGTCTGTTCTCCTTGCTCAGGATTCAAGCATGATGGTGGCTATTCCCCAATCCAAGCAAGCTCCTGGCTGAGCCCCTTTTCCTTTAAGGCTGCTGGCRAAACACTCCCCTTGGGCCCCTCCCAGCCCACTGCTGCTGGCRGCTGGGGGTCAGCTTCACACGGCCTCCCAAGAGTTAAAGAAAACAAAAACTAGCCTCAAATTCAAGAGGGGGAAAAAGGCTGGTATGCAAAATATTGAGCTCAACCCCAAATATGAGGCAAGCGTTCAGTTATTTGAGGCCACACAACTTAGGAGGCAACTTCAAGAAATCCTAAAAGCTTTTATTGTTGTCATCAGCTCAGACCAGCAACATTTTTGACCCATTACTAGGTCAAATCA